GTGTAAAGATTTCACATTTCCTTTTGGATTTGGTATGTAAAGAATTTTTAATTCAAATCTCAGCAATATTATTAATAATGTGGTCTTTCTTTTGCATTAGGACATCGTGTATGCGCGGGCGAAACTTACGCAAGGTACAATATGTTCCAAATATTCGCTACATTGATGCAAAATTTTAATTTCTCGTTTATAGAGGGTGAACCGAATAGTCTTGAAGACATAATGTCAGGTTTAATCGTTACTCCAAAAGAAACGTGGATTCGAGTGGAACCACGTTATACCTAATCGACATACATAATTTTATATCAATGTTTATTTTTATATAAGCAAATAGATATTTTTTAACTAAAAATATCACATTAACATTTATGTGTTTAATTGTTTTATTGAAACAATTTTTACTGTAATTTAATAACAATAAAAACTACGGAACTACTAGATTAAAAAATAAAACATCATATACAATTTGTATACTATAAATTTATTTCATAATTTGGAATAATCAAAGACAAAAATTACATTGCATTGAATAAATGTAATTAATATACAAAGATTTCCATAAGAGTTAACTACAAACAAGTATCATTGGTTATACTACGTTGTCAATTTTTTTAGAATATTCAGTGCCTATAAAATAAAAACTTTATATACAGATATTTGCGAGTTTGGAGAAGATAGGGAAGATAATCTTAATCTTATGTGCTGTAAAAATTAAGGGCTTACTTAAATATATACATTTTAATGTTAATCTTCCCAAATTTTCCATTCTTTTCCTTTTTTTTACAGAATATTTATTGAATTTATGATCATCTAATACTAAAAATAAATGTAACACAATAGTATACATTATAATAATTTTTACATTACAATTATAAAATATAATTAGACATATAAAATATTGAAACTCGATATTTATACGTATAATGTCTTACACTGCTAATGAAAATTTTTGCAAGTAATTTATTGAACGAGTTAACGGATTTCATTTAAAATAACACTAGTATTACGTGAAAATAAAAATGTTTGTACATTCAATTTTGCCAATAATGGCAGAACATTGTTTTTTAATACAGTACAAAAGTACTGCTGTTTTACACATATATCTTAATATTTTCTTATTACTATTGTAAATATACATACAGTTCTGCAAAACTATTACATCATCAACCTCTTGTGTACAAAAGGTTCTTCAAGTGGTATGAAATCAACAAGACATAAAATCACATTGTACATAGCTCCACATGTGTATTTGAGTTATCAATTAGGATTTAATTTTACAATGCACTTTTTTGTAGATCTTTGAACAGTCTGTTTCATATAATTTCCCATATGAAATACCTTTATTCTCTATGTACCAAAACATATAATCCCAAACACATTAATACCGCATATTTAAATTTGGGATATTCATTCATGAATATTGTAACCATTCCTACGTATGGTAAAAAACCCCTTGCTCTACCAACAACGTCTTTATGTGTCAACCATAATTGACCAGATGCATATAAACCTCTATCATCAACAGAATTATTATCACCCTTTGTTAGAAATTTAACAGTATTATTTTGGTCGCCCCTAAAATATATTAAGAAATTTTTCAATAATTTAATTTAAACTTATCTTTCATTTTTGTTATCGTAAAGATTTAAAAAATACTTACTTTTCGTGTAATTTAAGTACTCTGTGTACAATTGGAATATCTCTACCTTCAACTTTAAAGACAACAATTTCTCCTACTCTGACTGGCTCATCTGGATAATTAGTTAAAAATAACAAATCTCCCCTATGAAAAGCTGGTTCCATACTACCGCTATAACATTAAAATTTTAATATGTATAAGAAATCATATTTTAAAACAATAAAATATTAAATTAAACGTATAAGTTATATACAAAATAAAAAATTTAATTTATTCTCTATTTTACACATAACTTAAATAATTCATAACTTAAAATAATTGTCAAATAATTCGAAATGACTAAATAATTTTAATACGTAATATGCAATTCGTTGAGGAAAATATAGTTAATAAGTTAAGGAAAATATAATATATAAGAAAATGATTTCGTTAAAAAAGGAATTTATTTGTACGAAAGATGCATCAACTGTAACACTATTAGGTTAAGTATTCAAATACCTGAGAACAACCACAATCGGACTTTCACTACCCGTTACAACCATCAAGCCTTTCCAGATCATCAAAGCAGACGAAACAATCATACCAAAACTTAACATCTGATACAGGAACTGCAAAAGAATAGTGATAAAGACTATTTATCGACCATATGCGCTCGCTTGTAAGAATCTCTAATAATTCTAGCGAAGAAATTTATTTACCTGCCGTTTATTCATTCGACGCACATCGTCAAATATAGATTGCAACATTGTCACGATTGTTTTCTATAAAAATTACGATAACCAAGTAAACAAAACAATTTCAACGTTCTACCGCTTGAACACAACCGGCAACAACCAGTCAACGTATCACCACGTCACGTAAACAATGAATAAGGAACGCTGGAACAAGTAGAACGATCCAAATGGAATAGTCCACGTCCATTAGTGAACGAAGGAACGCGCGCGGTAATACTTTCGAATGTCGTACCTCGGGTTATTTTCCACGATAAACGGTGTATTTTTAACTATTCCAGCTTAAATATTGTCTTAAACAAATCAATTCGCACTAAAGTTGCTATGCAATTGTAGTCTTACAAAATTATTTAGTGTATGCCTCAAATTTTCCAAAAATTTCTCAACTACATATTTTCCGGTATCTATGGCGTTCCATCAAAGCGTAGACATCAGTTTTAATTTGAATTGTAGTATGTCGCGAAGATTTCTCAAGATTCTCATCAGGAATAGAAATATCCTTCGTGAAGTAACAAGGCAAAACCTCACAAAGGTATGTACATTGTTTTTGCGATATATCATTTATTTACTCAAATATTTAAATATCATTTATTTATCATTCATGATGCCTAAAATTGTAATTTAGCGGAAATTGAAAAATATTATTGCAATCGTTTATTGAATTTTATTGTTATTATTGAAAGTTATCACGTGAAGAGGAATTTATCCGCAAAGTTTATCTGTCTTTCTCAGATCGTCGGATTTGAATCGAGCAACGAATATTTCTGGCGCCATATTGACTTCTGCGTCGATCTTTTGAAACTTGTAACGGTTATGCGTACCATTCTCGTTGACAATATCGAGCTTCTGCGCATTTGCAACGAAATCGGTTCTTTTGATGGAATCGCCATGGTTTTCTTCGTCGAGATACCATTGCGATACCATCTCTTTCAGTGGTTGCAAATGATCTACGTTTTTTTGAACTTTCTCCAATTCCTCGTTACAAAGTCGTTCCACTTCCATCAATTTCTGTTTGTACGCGTTCGCCATCATTTTCCATCGTGCATTATAACGTTTCTCTGCCTGGCTTAACGAATATTCGTCTTGATACTTAGCCAAACGTTTCTCGTATTCGAGGATTGTCAATTCTGTGAACACATCCTCCGAGGTAATGTCTAAAATATCGCCTATATATCATAAAAAAATTTGTTATCAAAATTTGTTATTAATAAAATATTTTACATTTGCTTTGGAAGATTACCCAAATTGTTAGATAATGGCGATTCGGCAGCATAAGCTGCCGCAGCTGCGCGTGCAGCGGCAGTTGCTTCCTCTAAAGCCAATGCATCATCTTTCTCGCGTAAAAGTTGCAATTCTTCTCTTTCTTTTCTCCAAAGTTCGATTTCTTTCTTCAGTTCTTCCTTTAAATTTCTCATTATCTCATTAAGCGATTCTATGCGTTCCCGAAGAATGCAGCTATTAGTTATGAAAATTATTCAATATAATACATAATTTTTTCTTTAATTAAAAATATGATTAATTAAAAATATAAATTAGCATAATACGTACTTTAAATCTTTATTGTCTTGTTCGTCTTCGATCAATTGTACACCGTCTAAAATCATCGAATCTTCCGGTTGTTCGAGAACAGCTGAGAGCTTTTCTAACGAATCGTCATTTTCATTCTCAGAAATACAATCATAATTCGGCAACATGTTTCCTAAATCCAATGTTAAGTCAACATCTGTTTCATCTTTTTTCCTCTGTTTCTCGTCTGATAATTCTTTGCATTGATTATCAACATTCTGAACGCTATCCGTGTTGCTTGAACTGTCCGTTGAAATTTCTGTCAAAGATCCATGTTCGTTTTCCATTTGTAATATTTTCTTAAAATTGCCGATTTGACAAACTTTTTAAACGAGAGATAGAGTATTTAAAGATCTAGTTGACTGAAGTTATTTTATTTTATGATATGATATTGTTTTTTCATTACGTCCAGTCACTATAAAAAATATAATCACATGTACATGTTTATAAATATCGCGTATTTCTAAGGGTAAATTCAAAGTGAAGTAATAATTTTACATCAATTACCTCATAAGAACGATACAAATATTTAAAGTTTTATATTTTCTCTTTATGTACTACCACAATGTTTCATTTTAAAAGAAAATCTACTGTCTCTATACAACATGGGTACGTGTGTTATATTGAATTTTTTGGTACAGGATAATTGTAGTGAGTGGCCTCTTCTACCATCAATACAATGTTAGTTTAGTAGGTTATTATTGATTTCTCTGTATTCAAGTTGAATATTTAAAATATCTTAATAATTTTCCCGTAATAATAATATAGAAGCTGTAGATTTGTTAATTACAAACAAACTGAATAGATGAAATTTTTCATTTACCACAATTAAACTTTCTGTCATACATGCAAGTTAGTTACGTTATTGCACAGGTTATGTGCATTGATTTTAATTGTAATGGTGAAAACAAGAAAACGTATTTGTCGAAATACGTTTCAAAGTGTTGATTTTCGAATCTCGTTATTTTAAATTAGTGACAGAAACTATACGTGTCGAGATACCATGACAGAAAGAGGTTAATTACAACTTGAATATAAAACGATTATATCAAAGTTCTTAATTATCAAAAAAACATGTTTGTACACTTCTGGTCACTAGTGTGCTGGTATTTCAGACCCATTATAAAATGGTTATTAAGGCACACAACGCGAATGTGTGAACTTCAAAGAATTTGTTATGGAGAACTGTGTGGAGCACCGAGAACACTAGCTGTAGAAGAATCCCTTAAGTTATCTAGGAATGCTAATATTAAAACTCTTATAGTCTATTTGAATGATTTTGCTGATCAGCGTGCAATTACAAAACAGACAAAACAAAAAATCTTGAAGGAAGCTATTGTGACCATATTGGTGACCAAGAAAATAAATCCAACAGCTCATCCTGACTTTGCCAAGTCATTTGGTAAATGTGTAGAATTAATTTGGGGCTATAGACAACTTTGTGTGGAATGTGAAGAACTTAGAAAGACACCTTATGATGCTGACAATCCAGAGCACGAGTTATTACTGTTAAAGTTGTGGAATTTGTTGATGCCTTATGAGCCTTTAGATGCTAGAGTTACCAAACAATGGCAACACATTGGCTTTCAGGGAGATGATCCTAAAACAGATTTCCGTGGAATGGGAATTTTGGGACTAGAAAATTTAGTTTATTTTGCTCAAGAATATCCCAGTGCTGCGACACATGTGTTGTCACATTCTACACATCCACGTTATGGTTATGCATTTGCCATAGTTGGGATAAATTTAACAAGTATGGCTCTAAGATTGTTAAGGGATGGAAGTGCCAAGACTCATATTTACAACTCTTCGAAGAGTTTTCCAACAATTCGTGCATTCCATCAACTTTATTGTTATCTTTTCTATGAATTTGATGGATTTTGGATTGATTCAAAACCAAGCAATATGATGGAATTTTCGTCCATACAAGAAAAGTTTGAGAATAGTATCAGAATGGCACTAGCTGATTCATCTACTGTCTTTAGGATAAATATATCAGTTGATAATGTTTAAGATAGATGCAATATTTTCTGTTGATAAAACTAAAATTATCATAAAGAGTGAATACTATTACTACAATGCACAAAGCTACTTGCTCCAATATATGTAGCACAGAGTGTCTTGTGAATGAATAGTATAGCATTAAGTATATATTGGAAACTACAAAGAGTATAAGATACAAAACAAAACATAATCATCCATGAAGTCATTAAGTTACAGAAAGATACAAAGATCTTTATGCATTTGATATTATATTTTTACTTTATTTTTCTACTGGTAATAAAGGTAATGAAGGTATGTGTTATCTAATGAATGTGAAGGGACTCACATTCAAACAAAAACATTTATTTATCACAAATAAGTTAAAGTACAACGTTTACCCAAATAAATATATTATTTTCAATCTGTTTTTATTTAATTTTTTAAATAGGTATATGTAAATATAAAATACTTTGTTACATTAATTCAGATGATTTTTTTGAGGGAAAACCATATCATATCTAGGAAATATTTTACCATTATGCATGTTTTTCGAGAAATTTTAATTTAAAAATATTTATTGTAAAACGTAGAAAATATTTGTGTTAAAAAAAATTTAGACGCAGTGACTAATACATATTTTATACGAAATAAAAACCGCAGTTATTAGAAATAAAATATATACGTATTTGTATCTCTTTAAAACATCTATATTATGGGTATTGATCAAATATATGAAAATGGAAACTTATGCGACTTGTCAAAAATATAAAAACAAAAAGTTTGATTTTTAGTAAAAAAAAACTCTATTCATCTCATATATGTTCTGTATTTTATATAAAATCATAAATGATATATTAATAATTTGATGTAGTACCCATAATATGTGTCTCTGGTAAAAAAAACAATTAGTCTTTTTTTTGTGCCATCTCGGTTTTACGTCTGAATTTAGAGGCTACAGAAATTATAATAAATACACCTATTGTTATGCTGCCAAGTTTCATTATCCACGGATTTTCACGAAGGAAATTTGCAATCATTTGTACGAGATCGTCACTGAAACGGGAACATTTATGTCATAATTGTACTACTGCACTAATGTCCATATGTGTATAAAAGGCTGACAAATGTGTTCAAACTTACAATGGGCTTTGTGGTACAGGGACAAGCTCAGCACGTGCATTTCTGTACCATTCTTTCGCAAATGATGTAAAAGAGTTAATGTCGTATTTTGAAATCTGATAACGATACATTTTACCATGTCTAAAGCTACAAGTACAAAATAAATTACGTTAAATGTTAAAATATTATATTGTGTCATTAATTCTATTCATTATCATAGCATTTTACATTGTTCTTATCATTTATTTCTTACATACTTACAATATAAATTCAGGAGCTTCATAAACATTAAATCTTCTTGCCGTGGATGCTCCAGTTGTATACTTATCAATACGTGCTACATTAACCCTTTGCTTTAGTTTTGCACCTACAGCCTCCCATCTTGCAATCATTCTAACGCATTCCACACAGTCTGTACTATAACTGTTTTTTAAAAAAAATTATATAATAAACATCTATGAAATAAAAAATATATATGACATTAAGGGAAATTAAGACTTACAACATAACAAACCAATCCCCGGTTGTAGCTCCACTACTTGCCTGTGTTAGATGTTCAAATGTATCATCTGTTAGTTCCTTCACTGTAGGTTCTTTATTTTCAATGAACATAGTTAAAATTTCTTCAGCATTCAGAGGTCCTAGAAAAGATGATTAGATATAATCATTGATATTGATAAATTAATAAAAGTATTGAAATATATTCGTCTTAATATTAACATTTGTACCATCGTAAAGTAAAGGCATTCCATGTCTAAAGAACACAAGTGCTGGTTCTTTATCAGTACTGTAAAGACGAAGTAATTGACTATCAACAGTTTTCACAACCCAAGCGGACAGGGAATTTACTAGATCTTCTCTTAAATGGATCATCTCATTCTCATAGTTTTCACATGTTGTGCAGTCTTTGTTTGCTAGAAATATTATACACATATTAACTTACATATAAATATTTATACATACAAATTGATAGCTAAATAAATTAGAATTTATAATATGAAAAAGATAAGAAAATAGGGTTGAATTAGAATTTTCACTCAGTTATGTCAGGTTATGTCAGAATTTGTGAAAAATATTATTTCACTTAATATTAGATTCACTTAATATTAATTATTACTGAAAAGATGCTTTCAGATGAATAGAAAGATACATGTATGTAAACGTGAATCAAAACTCACTGAAAAGCACCACTACATATTTCTCAGTTTTTATGAGATTTATGAGTTCTTCATCACTCACTGTTTCAAGATTGGCAGAATGAACATCAACAAAACAACATATCAATATAAAAAGTATTATTCGTAACATTTTGTATTGAATTAGATCAACAATATTGATTAGAATATCTTCGCCGACAACCTGTATACGTCAAAGAGGTTAACATTCCTATTCCACTTCATTTTATTTTATTTTACTCTGGTGGAACTGTTCGAAATTACAAAAGTTACAACTTTTTTTTATATCCCTGTTAATGCTTTAAGATTACTATGTTATTCATAATTTTTCCTAAGATCTTTATAATAAATCGGTTTTCATGCTACTAAAGTTTAACACACGTACATATATATTTGATCTGAAAATTATGAAATAATGGTGTTTGAATTTATTTTATAAAATGTAAAAGCGGATAATTTAATAAGTACAGATTTAGCCACGTATTTTTTGAATTTTTCTTGAATGATCTTTGAAGCAAGTGATATCATCGGTACGCTTTATTTATTTTACAGACTTCTCTCAATTTGGAGCTTGAGTTGCTTGCATTTTGCATTTTATATCTCTAAAAGTTTCAATGTACGTTTGTAAATACTTTACTGCGCATAGCTTAATAGTAAAGACAAGTATTGCAAGATAACATGCTTTACGTGTTCATATGTTTATCTTAAAAAAATGATATGTACATAGTATGTTTAACAAACAGAATAACTGGTTTCGTACAAATATTTTTACTACAATTTTAGTTCTTTTGATATTTCGTAATGGAATATTCCATTAGTACGGAGATTGTATTATCGTAATAGAGATATTCTATTAGCGTGTTCTATTTATGTGTGTGATAATTCTTTGGCAATGTTTGTAATATTCTTTTTTTACGTAATAAAAAATTTTAATCAAAGTTATGTGTTGTATAATAAATATTTTCTAACTTTATAACCTGTAATGTACAGGTAAATTTGGATGGTAAATGATGGTCACGTGATGATAATTATGGTAAAAAGTTAATGATAACTACTTGGTTTTAATTATTTAATATCTGCTGAAATTTATATCAAAATTATAACACGTACATGACTTATTATTGACTAATTGATGGACTAAATGGATGGAAGTCAAAAATAATCTTAGCACGTGAATTCATGTAAAAATTAGTTCGATTACGTATAATTAAAGCGATCTAATTAGAGAGTTTTATAATTGATAATTAATATTTTAGTAACCCATACTGAGTATACTAAGTATTTTACATTCTAAATTCAACAGGTTAGTTGAATTATTCGAACTATTCTCTCGTGTCGAGCATACTTCAACTCTTCAAATGTTCATAGGTGGTTTTTACAATTACCATTTTTCAATGTTAGGGGTGTTTCCGTGAATCCTTACGGCCCTGCTCATGAACAAGCAGTCGAAGGTCGAGTGGTATAGTGGTAGATAGTAACGACGTAAAACGTGACGCATATAGTAAGGGTTGTACGTCGAGGGGGATGTACTGGTATGTGCAGAATCGACGTCGGCAACCAGCACAGGGTGGCTGACTTTGTCGAAGGGTGGATTCACGGGGTGGTTGGTAGTCGCGTGCTCTCATCGTCAGGTGAGCAGCTTTTGTATGGATGTAATCGGTTTATCAAATATTTTTGCGAGTTGCTGTTACCCGCATTGGGATCGAGTCTTGTTTCCGCAACACGCAAAACTTCTGCATCGTCGTGAGTATTAAACTTAATATTACCTTTCGCGAGATAGCGCTGTACGAGTTTGTAAAGCGAAAGAATGTTAGAGCTTCAGTTCCAATTCAGGACAATGAATCGTTGAAAGAATTATCTCACACTTAAATAACAATTGGAGCTAATTACTCAAAAATTACTTAAGTCGTACGACTTAATCTGTTGACGACTGTCCATCGTTGCAATAGTTTAATGTTGCAATAGTAAATTTTATTTCTATATTTCTCTATTCCTTTTTAACGACGAAAGGATTGTTCTGCCCTCCGTTGTGGAAGAACTTGCTGTCACGTAATCGCATGCAAAATGTTTTATTCAAAGCTATTTAATTTTTTAACAGATATCTCGAATCGAGTGTATGTATGTTCTCACTGTATTTAATTCAGGGGAAAAGGGAAACAGTGTATTTGAAAGTAAAATGATTAGCCGTGTAGAACATAATATTACATATACATTGTTACTGATCTTAATTTTCCAAACTAATTCTCATTCGGAACTCATTCCTCTTGAATTTATTTCGTCTTTCTACGTTGATTTGAAAAACCATTGCGTTCATTTAAATATGAAAAATTATTGTAATTCCCTTGCTTGAAGATACATTAGATTGGAAAAATTCAATATCGCACGATAATTTTTCATTATTAAAATGAAATTTTCGGAGCACCTTGTAATAAGATCGTTGTGTCCAGATAAAATGATATTGATGGTTTTATGCAAACATGTGCCGAAGCTTTTTCATTTTATCCCTAGCTGTATGCATCCCGTGCTCGAGTATGTTATGAAAATATTTTTATGTATGAATCGAATATTATGTTCTTTCATTCGCATGTTTTGAGTAGAATTGACTTCTGGAAATAAATTAAAAATTTTATGAATACACGTATATCAAAATTAATAATAGGAGAGAATGAACTGTGCCCTTTAATAATTACTTTAGTGAAAATTCTCTTGCTGTGTTTTTTGTTAAATTAAAGTTATTATTACCCAACCGTTTTTACACAATAAGTTCTAAAGTATATTGAAAAACGAAGTAAACAAATTTTTTGCACGAGTTGCGCGATATATTTCATCACACTAAAATTCCGTTACTAAAGTGTTTCATCGCTTACAACATGGCTTTTTGATGCTTCAATTTGAGCTACGTTTTAAAACCTACAAAAATCCGGAAAAGTTAATTGATTGTAACGTTTAACTGGAAGAAAAAGTATCACGCGAATCAGATAATTCCAAGCGCTAATATTCCACGCGGATGAAATGATCGTATATAGCTATGTAGATTGATGTCGTGTCCTCTCTCAAAGAAAAATACCTTGTTAAATCGATAACAGATGATAACAAATATCTTGTTATGCGACACGACGTTATCAAGCCTGATATTAATGGCTTTCGTGTTAATGGTTTTTTATTATCTGTATTGATAATTTCCATAATTCGTCCAGTTAGGGATAGATAGCACTTCTTTCAAAATTTACTTATCGAGTGCTTAATTTCACCATGTAATAATTATTTGATAATCATGAAGAAGAAGTTTTATAATTTTATGATATTAATGGCTTTCGTGTTAATGGCTTTTTATTATCTGTATTGATAATTTCCATAATTCGTCCAGTTAGGGATAGATAGCACTTCTTTCAAAATTTACTTATCGAGTGCTTAATTTCACCATGTAATAATTATTCGATAGTCACGAAGAAGAAGTTTTGTAATTTTAACTGTAAATACATTAGGAGAATTGAAAGAGTTTCGAAGATAAAGCAAGTTTTCGTTGGTTTTCCTAACTCTACTCCGATACAGTTTCGACCGAAACCGTCCATTTGATTTTCAGAGTGTCCACTGACACGTATGTAGTACGTGTGTTCCCTTACACGCGATGCTCGTGATTTGTTCGTCCTTTTATTAAGAGGAAGACACCGGGACTGAGATGGCGCAGGATATCCCGGAGACGACGTACGTCCCGGAAGTGGAGCAGGATGCGAGAAAGGAACGGGAACGGCGAGCTGTTGAAGAGGGGACTGTCTCGTGGAGAGGACGAAAGGAGGAGTTGCAATGCCAAAAGCACCGCGAACAGCGAGAAGTACGCGTCGTAAATGATTGTTACGTTAAACTCGAGCTTAGACTCGTTTACGTCACTGCCGTTTGCACTGGCCAACCAGCCTCCTTGGCTTCCCCAATTTCGTTCGGTATCGTTGTCGCTGATCGGATGAAGATCAATGCCGGCGCCTTCGTATCGGCAACAGCCGTCATTTTTTCCTCTTTGTAGCGTTTCTTCGACAGCTTGGCAATAACCGCGAAGATTTACGAGGCCATACGAACGATTCCTCACGTTACAATGGGATTTCAAGTGGTCACACGGCCGTTTAACCGTACACGAAGGTTTTGTAAAATAGAAATGGGAAACAATAGAGAATGGTAGATGGCACTTGGACTTCTTATCATGGTTTATGGCACGAAAGTAGTTCGAAGGCTAAAGTAGCGTGTTTCTGCTTCTCTCTCGACTGTAAATTTTATCAACGTAATGATACATGACGGAGCGTTTCATTGAAAGTCATTGAAATTTTCAGTTCGCACTTTGGTCGGGATTCAAACTTCGTTTCAATTGAAACGTTATTTTTACCAACGAGGTTCATCTAACTGGCGAATGTTAAAGCGATTCGTTGAGCGCAATTTGTATAAACCGTGTCATTAGTAGCTGCATGCTGTACTTACTGCATATATTTGCCTTGGTAGTAAGAAATATTTCACTAACGAGCGCAAACGTTTCCACAGGTTTTAATGGAACTCGTACGTACTTTTGATCATTGTTAGTTGAATTACATTTTTATTCATCATTTCTAATCGTGTACCACGACACAGAACTACATGTGTCATTTCGCATTTTTCGTAATTAAAAGTACTCGTAATTCTTTTAATTCTAAATTTCCTTTGCATTTTAATAATATATGTGAAAAGAGAAGAAATGAAGACTTAATGAAGCAAAAAAGTACGATGAGGCTTCCTGTTTTATTTTCATATATAATCAACATAACTTTTTTTTTAATATATGCAATTTTTCTTTATAAAGATTTTTAATATCCATTTTATGCAGAAGCGTCAGAAATGGGTATTAGCGCTCGAATTTTTCTTTCTACCAGTGGAGGAACAATTTCTGGCAGAAAGGTTCATGCGTGTAGCGGTTAGTTGGCGAAATCCAATAAAAGATTAAAATATTCAGAGTCGTAAAGTGCATCCGAATTACTTATCTCGGACCGCCAACGTCGGATTAAGAACAGTTGAATATTAGCATGCTACAAAGGCCGTGCCAAGGATTCTTCCAATTTCTCTCTAGATAATAATAAACAGGAACATTTATCCGTAGATTACAGCGATGAATGAACATGAGAATTCCGAAATTCGCGACCTGTACTGCTTGCATTAAAAAACACGGTTCTCCGCGACTTTCACAGGAAACGGATTACTTCACATTCTAATGAAAATGCTTGCTAAAACCGAGTTAAAACGAATTTAAAAGATTGCATTTCCTTCTCTTTTTTTTTTTGTTTTATATGTTTCAAGTAACATTTGCATTATAGAAGTTAGTTTTCATATAACTCTGCGACTTTTCAATGCAAAATCTCACGTGCACAGATGTTTGCATCTAGTATTAAAATTCTAATATCAAAATTAACTTCGACAAAAATATTTTAGTTAGTTTAATTCTATCCCGACGGAAGATATTCTAGCTTTAAATTTTCCATTTGCTAAATTTATGTTATCAAAATATTAACGTACCGGTAAGTGAGATTCGAGGAAAGTTATTACCTCGTAAAGTTTCGTCTGGGAAAATATCGATATACGCGACATAAGCTCGTGGAAGAGGGAAATTTAATTTCATCTGAATTCTTGGCTGATTTTGAAAAATTTCGTTGAATAGCATTCAAAGCTCGAACGTTCGCTTTTTAAAACTGTTCGGACAATATGGTTTCGACAAGCGCGCAGTAGAATCAATCCGTGTAGCGTCAGACAAGCGGAACCGCGAACTACTACGGTATTCCCAATAGTGTTACCTATTCATTTCCGTTAATTCTGATTAGTTTATCTACCCGAAATTTTATTTTTAGGATGCAGAAGTTTACAAATCAATTAGAAAATATAACGTTTCGAAATAATTATTTTTTTTTCTCTCTCTTTGCAGTTGCAGCAGATTTTGGAGAGTTATTCTCCTTGGGGTAAACCAGGCGGTGGTGCTCCCTGTGCCGCTACTCTCAGAAAGAAAAACGTCCCTCTAGAACCGCCGGAGCTATCCAAGTGTCACAATTTCGGACAGGTAGAGTTTCAAACAATTTATTTATGTACCTATCATTTAAACATCCGAGTGTGTCCGAATATTTTCCACCATTTTTCCGTAGAAAAATTGAACTTGAACAAGGAGACTCGCCGTAATTCTCACTACGTTTGACGTAAATTCGATAACCATTGACAATCTTTATGTGATATGTGATTACTCCCTGTGTTGCTTTTTGCTGTCTTTGTTACCATTTTTATGTTGTTGCATTGTCGATTGACCAATGATGGATTTGCGTCAATCAATGGCATGCACTGGTTCTGATAAAAAGGATGTCGCGTAATAATGTATAATATTTACTGCATGGTTACTTGGATTACTAATTTAATGTTTTGAAAATTACACGGAGTGATTAAAAAATTTTCAAACTTCAAAGACGAATTAAAAACATTTGCTATTTACAAAAATAGTTTTAATTATCCTGAAGAAATAGCGAATATTACAAACGTACGAAGCACGTGCATTTCTTTTTTTAATTAATTAATTACACATTTAAACTTTATCGATTGATTTTTTCCAGCCACTTGATTTTGCGTTAAATTAAAGAATTTAATCAACCGTCCGCTTGATTCGTTTCTCTTTCCGAGAACGTTCTCTGCTTTGTCATTAGATAATTTAATATTGACGCAAGAAATGTGCCAGCAATTTGCGAAGGCATGAATTAATCATTCTTAATCCGAAGTCTCGATCTTGGGCAGCTTTTTAAATAGATGAATTAATCGTTGAATCAATAATTCAAGTTATTATCCCCGATTTTACTCTCCATAAGTAAATATCAAATCCAAAATTCCAAAGTTGATTCTGTAATTTCCTAATTCAATAATTAATTCTATTCTTATTCCTGCGTTATCTTACCTTCCATTTAACGTGCTCTACTTTTTGTAAGCGTAACGTGCTAAGCGCCTCCTTTTGTTGAAGAAAAATTAACAGTATAATACGCAAGTGAAAATTGGAGCGTCGCTTTTAAATTTTAATCAAAACGGAAGGCAATGTTAGTTCAATCTAAACATTGTAACTCGCTGCGTAACGAGAAATCTTGAATGAAATTTATTTCACTCCCCTGAAAAGCAACTGTGTTATCTATGCCAACAGGCTATCCTTGGTAGAAGCCATGCGAAAAAGCAAGAACGGTGAGTTGGCAAAATTCTGGGCACGAAAATCTGCGAATAATATTATTCCACGACGTGACGTTATATACAAAAGACAGGCGGTGGGAAAAGTAAGACGGGATCGAAGGTTGTTTGGAAAATTAGGGCAGCCGCTAGCTAGTTTGCAGAAAACAGCGAGCAATTCGCGTTGAAGGATGTCGTTCTAACCCTTATTATCCTGCCAATTACGAGAGCCATTATCATCGTAAAGATGCATTTCGCCGCTGCTCGATAATAACCGTGCAAATGTTTGCCTCCGATATGTTTTCAATGACGCAACTAGCCGGCGCGGCGATCGTTCGTGATCGTGATTCGGAATCTAGTCCACAAGGATTATTTGCAATTCAAAGTTATGATAAAAAAAGACACTCAGCGGCTTTCGTTACGTCTTACATAACTGTTTGCCATTTTACGTTGAAGGTGTGTGATTGCAGAACGGAAGGCCTTGCCTCGTAGCCTTTCTTCCATTAATTTTCTATATTTTAAAAATACTATAGAGGAAGAATGTAATAGGTAGACTGCGTAATTTTATGTTCAGCTTCACATTTTTGTGAACATAGTTAAGGAGCCCAAGTAGGAATTTTTTTCTTTGTTTTTTGCTATTTTTACAGTATATCCTATAATTTTAACTTTCTTTTCTAAACGTCGAGCGAAGTTTCTGCTCTTTCATCAACCACACGATGTCATTAAATATTTTTCTCTTCCCTCTTATTCGCTCGTCTTATTAAATTTATTTCCTCACGTTTGAAAGTCGAATGAATTTTCTAAAAATCATTCTCGTTACGATTAATATCACAAAGACGGACATCGCAATGGAAAAAATATGATTGATAGGGAAGATTCGTCGATGACGAGATGGTGGAGAGATTGGAGAGTAGTTCCTGTTCTCGCAGTTGTATCGATAAAATCAAGTGATATCGTCGTCACCTCGGTGACGCTGCCTTTCATTAACATATCAAGCTACCTCGTGCACGAAACCTTCCCGCCATCTCGTTCACGGCTTATCGATTGCAACTCATCGATGTTCTTTACTTGCTCAACAACAGCTTGTTCACGAATCTCGAGTAGATCTTTCTCTCACGCATAATTTTTGACCATTAAGTTAATTTGCTCGTTCCATTATTTTAGATCGGTAAAAATTGAGTGTCTTTTCCCTTTGGATTTTTTCATGATTGAAACTTTATCCGGTTGAAGGTTGAAGCAAACCAGTAGTTAGTTTTAAACAACAGTTTCTAACTAACGACATTTCGTTTTCTCCGATCTATCAAAAATTCAGGGAACAGTTCGGCTTTCACGAAAATGAAAAGTTCCCCACAATAATAAGCCAACGCCAGGAACGGATTGGAAATGAGGAAAGTTTGATCATGAGGGTAGTTTACGTAAGAGGAATTTCGTAATGGGCTTTCCTTGTACGATAAGCGTGAAACACCTTTTTCGCAATAACGTCGATAAAGAGGAGAACGTCGACATAGCTGGGTATTCAGCCTGTTTTCGGTCAGATCGCAGACGTATCGTTCTCTGATCACGTAAAGTTGGAAACGTTTCTACTAGCCTTTCCTCGGAAAAGAAAGTCGATTTCTCTTCGCAGGCAGACGCGAGAAACTTTACGTCAAGAGAATTTCCTAAGAAAATTCCAACGAAAAATAGATGTCGCCCCTTTGTTTCAACTGCTGCTCATTCCAATTCGACTATCGAACTTTCCCCCTGGGAAAGTTAAATTACACGAATAAGAATAGAAAATTTTACGGCATCGCGGAGATGAATTCAACACTCCAGCGTTCGTATTTTCTTCGCGAACGATTCCAGCGAGATTTCTATCGAGTTAGATCAGATGTCTGACAGCGTAATACAGAGGTGTCTAAAAGCGTAACAGGTAAGTCCGTCTGTTGGAAGTTTGTGACGCAGCTGTCACGGGAATGGTGAATTCATCCCCGCAGTTCATTGAGATGGCAATCAGCAATGCAATGATTTTGCGCACATGCTTGAACGCGAATCAGGAAACGAACCTTGGAAACTGCTTAATACGCTATGACGCCGTGTGCTTAGCTGGCACCGCTCTGGCCCTGGGGTCGACCTGGTCCGGGTGGAGTTCCTTGGAGGGATCCCAAGTTGCTGGGTGTGCGCTTCCTCGAGTCTTTGGTACGCATACTTTTCGATGCGTTCAGGTTCAGGTATCTAGGGTTCACCGACGATTGGCTTCTTAATCAGACTTTGTTTCTCTAAAACCTGTTTGTAAATTGAGGCATTTGAGTTTCTTTCTTTCTTACGTTTGCGTTTGTTTCATTTACATTTATAGCCGAGAGTCACTTTAGCGTACACTGATCGTGATTTCTCACTCGTTCACAAGTTCTTCTTGCCTGATTCAGAGCTGGTTGGCTGAAAAATTGTACATAGGCTTTGATCGTACATCTTCGATCGTAAGTATTAGGAAATTTACAGAGAGCTAGATTAATAATGAATTGTTGTTACGAAGTTGTGTTAATCTCAACAATTATATAATTGAATTAAATTTCTTTCCATCTGTATTTGTTGCATCGACATCGTTAGTTCTCTCTGTAATATTTATTGTTTTTCTGTCCCGCGAAAGCAATTAATCTCATTTGTTTTTAATAAAATCTCTCTCGGCCGAGAGAAGGAAATTATTCATTCGTTACTCTTCTACAATTCTTCTACAAAATAATTTCAACTAATTTCGTCTCGTATAAATTCGAAGTCTCGTTAAATTTAAATCAGTTACTACGTTCTTTAACAGACCAACAAGTGTCCTAATACTTATGAAACATGTGGCGCTTTTAGATCGGGATGCATGACCCGCTCAGCAAAGGGAGATTGAATCGTTGGAACCGCAGCGAGACGCAATCAAGCCCTCGCTTGGGTTTTCCATCTGGATTTCTGCGACTTGGTACACACGCAAGTTAATGTGCCGTGTGATAGAAACGGATGTAACGACGCGTGCCGTGTCGGCGCAAGAACGTAGGTTTTTTTTTCTATCGGGCTGGAATATCGTCGTACACTGTTGGTAAAGTAGCTGTTGGTAAACAACGTTTGAAGTGGAAATTAGCGCTTATATTAACGTGCTTTCGAGACACGGAGGTCGCGTTTCCTTTCGGGCTTTCGTCTCGGTCTCTCTCGGCAGGGCCAACCATCCCCGGAGGACGGAACTCTTAATTTTTAATTAACCGCCGTAGCATCCCCGAATAGCAAACACATAACCGTGCCGCGTTACTGCGTAATTGAACGATCCTCAGTGCAGCGTTTGCGTCACCGAAAGTTTAAACTAAAATTTATTAGCGCGTTCCACTTCAGCCGAGTTTACTTCTTCCTGCACGTAAACTCGTCCCCTAGCAGGAAGAGTGCCTCCTCTTCCCTGTTTTTCTTCACCCTTTTCCATCAGACATTCTTCGGCTCGTGAATCTTCCCCTCCTCCCTCGGTCTCTTCAAAACCGTTAACGTTGTCTCGGGGCGTGAACCCTGCTCGCTCCCGGGCATGGATTTATGGGGAAGTTTTCTGTTTTTCTTCATAATAAACCGCACGGTTTGCCTTGCTGCAACTAACTAGCAGCTAACTAGAATGACGTTGATGAATGAACGATGCAAACGCGTTAAGTCGAGCTTGGAGCTAAGCGATTACTGATTATCTGATGATAGATTTTTCCTGTCAGCTCTATTGCCCTCCTTCGTGATTCACTCTTCCATTTATCCCTCTCTGGATTATCCTTCACCTCGCTTGTGTTTTCATTTGCGCGAAGATTCTTTTCTTTCGGCTGAGTTTTCAACTCCAAGAACAACAATCTTTCCTTTCCTATTCACCTTTCACACACAAGCGACGATCTCGGTGGTCAAGTTTTAATTTCAATTTCGTCGAAGTGACGATGACTGACTGGTACTTTTATCAAGATCAACTCGTCTCGATGGTTTTTACAAAATTTAGAGAGACTCGGTAGAAAATAGAAAAAGTTTGAAAGATCGTGCATAAAAGAGTTGGACAATGGCGCTTGGATAGAACACCGCTACGTTGCTAGATCTTAGAAGGCGATGAACGCGATGTCCAAGATGTGAATATCAATGGGCTTTGTGTCCCACTTAACTCGATTCGGTTTGCACTACGCAAGTTGCATCGCAACTGCAGCCAGTTATCACTTTGAATCCTTTCAGGGTTGGACGAGCAATTCCACCATCGAAAGGTTACACAGAAGGAGTATTAACCCTTTGCCCGTCACGGATATGAACAAGTTCTTTGATGATAAAGCAGAACCAGGTAAACGGACGGAAATTCCCGGTGTCGGGCGTTGGAAGGTCAGCATCCGGTTTCTAGGTCAGTCTATTTCCTAGGTATCGCCACAGATACGCGGCTGGTACGGGATTCGAAAAATCCCTACAACGAGGAAATTCAGGTGTACGAATTGACTGGCGGCGTGGAATTGGTCCCGCTTTTGACCAGCAGACGTTATTACTCGCAATCACAAAATACTCGTCACGTCGCCACCGACGCCACTCGTCCTGGATACACGATAGATTCGTACGTATTGCGTTTTGCAAGTGAATCTCGCAGTCGCTTCTTACTGTTTATTTTCCTGCATTTTCATTTTTTTTTTT